GCATGGGGCTCTATTGTGCCCCTTCAGTCACTTTGGGGGCAACATTTTGCCAGCCCATCTTGCAAGCACCCCAGGGAAAATAACATGAATGCAAGCCGTGTTTACATGCTGAGAAGTGACTTGGACAGTTTTGGATGAATGCCACTGATGTTGCCGCTGATGCAATTTAACCACTTAAGTCATATTAGATTGGGTGAAGTTATGTCGAGTAGAATGGCTGGTACAGGACTAACGGCCCTGTAAGGCACCCCATGGGGAGGACTTAACGGAGGGATTTCTTCAGTCAGGCAGTCCCGCGGTGAACTGACAATGTATTTTGGTCACTCGGCATGATGAGGCTGAGGCGGATGGTTAATCGTAGGCCAGGTCCGGGTCCTGTACTGATTGAGCCAGTGGTCATGCCAGTTCACAAGTGGCTCATACTGCCATATTAGTAAGACGTTACGTTTATCGGGCGACTCACAGGGCTAGACTCAAGAACAGACAAGAAGGGCTCTAGAGGTTGTAGGTGATTGGAGTCTATCCTGGCCTTCTTTAGCGAAGCGGTGGGCTACGTACTGTATGTGTTGGAATCCGTTTAGATCATGACGTTTTGCAGGGACACCTCATCAAGTGTCTGCTATGCGTTGGTCCAACATCGTTTTGTGAAAGTGGATCAGGATTCGACTTCAGAGAGGCCACTAATGATGGTTTGTTTGAACGAAAGACACGTGAAGGATGTGGCCAGAGAAATTTTGCCATTTGGTTTATATTTGCTGTGGCTCCTTTCGCACAAATAGCACAAAGACACAAGCAAACACTGGAGAAAGGTAGAGACAGTTCATGCAACAAAACGTGACTATGCGAAGAACGTCGCAGAATGAATTGTTGTCATTGTGCATATTTGCTGTTCCATATGTGATAATCCACTTGCAGTGAGCAACACGATCCACTCGAAAGAGCTGAAATTACAAGACTGCAGTGGAGCATTGGAGACTTCCTCACATTATTTTTCAATTACATCTTGCAAGATAGTCGGACTTGTTTCCGATGCGTGGTCATGCTCAAGTAGTACACTTGTAGATTCTTGAAGATCAAGTGTGGTATTGGTACGCGGGCTCCCTCTAGAGCAGGGGCTACCAACTCCGGTGCTCGAGAGCCCCCATCTACACAGTTTTGGATGTCTCCCTCTCTCCTCCATCACAGCCGATTCAAATGATCAGCTCATCAGGAAGCTCTACGATAATGATCCTGAGCCGTTTTGAATCAGGTGTGTAGGAGGAGGGAAAGAGCTAAGAGAGGCAGCTTAAGGGCTCTCGAGGTGGTGACCCCTGCTCTCAAGGTATGCCAAAGAATCCCTGAATTAAATATCCAAATTGTGCATAATGTTACGGTGGCTCTCCGGCCCCTGTGTGGCGTTTGCATGTTCTCCCCGGGCTTGTGTGGGTTTTCTCCGGGTACTCCAGTTTCATCCCACATTCCAAAGAAACATGCATGGCGGGCTGATTGAACACTCTAAATTGTCCCTAGGTGTGAGTGAGAGCGCGGATGGTTGTTCGTCTTCGTGTGCCTTGCATTGGCTGAACCGGTTCAGGGTGTCACCCCACCTACTGCCCGAAGACGGCTGGGATAGGCTCCAGTATGCCCACCACCCTCCTGAAGATAAATGCATCAGACAATGGATGGATGCATGAATTGCCAGAATACAAATAACAGAAGAAACAATGTGATGTGGTCCAATATGGTCCTCAAAGTGCTCATGCCCTAATAATGAAAAAAAATAAAACATTACATCTGGGGTGATTTTTTTTTTTTCATTTTTGATTATAATGTATCGAGATGTAAGGCACATGTCAAAACATGGCCTTTCATTATAGGGAAAGAATGAGTGAATCTGAAAACTCAAGTGTGCGGAAGGTGTGTGTGATGGTCTTAATGTGCATTTTAGTGCAGATCCAAAGTACTTCTGTACTCCAACTCAGATTCATGATCTTGACATCATGCTGACATCATTCTGGAGTGCGCATTCTGAAATGATGAAGAAACAAATTGTAAGCCGTGTTCAATCAGCTTGAAGAATGGAATCGACGTTTATAGGAGGGGGTGGGGGTGGGGGAAGCTGAGTTTCTAACTGTGGCTCTTTTTTAATTTTAACATTATGCCTGCAGCATGTAACGTCGAACACACTACACAAAGTCTTGGCCAGAGACTGGAGCCACATAGTCCATTGGAACAGTGCAATCTTTTAAATCGGAACCACATGTGTACAAGACAGATCGCTAAGACAGCTTTAGACTAAAAACACACACACACACACACACACACACACACACACACACACACACACACACACAGAAAACTTAGCTCACTTCTGTAGGTAGTCCACATGCTTGGAGGTGAACTGCCACTTGAACTTGTTAATCGTGTTTGCTATATTGCATTAATAGTCCTACAGGTGGTTGATCTGACCCACAAACAAGTAAATCAATCAGGAAAATCCTTTCCGGAAGTGAAATTATTAGAATGAGTCACTTGTCAACTGTGATTTTATGAAAAATCTGGGGTAAATTATATCAACGTCATCTTCTTTCAGTGATGTTGGTGTGTTTTTCGAGCTTGACCGCCTGATGTCAAAACCTGCTTCAGGTGGGCATGTGGCTCTATTGTGCACCTTCAGTCACTTTGGGGGCAACATTTTGCCAGCCCATCTTGCAAGCACCCCAGGGAAAATAACATGAATGCAAGCCGTGTTTACATGCTGAGAAGTGACTTGGACAGTTTTGGATGAATGCCACTGATGTTGCCGCTGATGCAATTTAACCACTTAAGTCATATTAGATTGGGTGAAGTTATGTC